AGTTAACTTTTAAACCTTCTCAATATATTTATTCAGTAACTCATAATCGGGATTCCACTTGTGTAAAAGTCAGGGGTGTTAACCAGAGAAATATTGTCAGTATTTCAAGCTGTGTTCCTTTCTTAGTTTGATATGGTTACTTCTATGTAAAAAACAAAAACAAAAAAACCACAAAAACCAGAAAATGAAACAAAACAAAAAAAAAAAAAGCCTATGTAGTTTTCTCCCCGGTGTAAATGATATTTATCAGTGATCTAGCAGATGTAATCTTTTTTTAAAGGTATTGGTAATAAATATTCTGTCATTTGTAAAGATACTTGTCTTTCAGGAGCATTTTTCCTATGTCCCTGATTATAGCTTGTGACAAACTTCGACAGTAGTGCTTACCTTCTTGGATTGTCACTGACTGGAAAATGCAAAGAGAGAAGGGCCTTTGCATTCCCACAGGCACTATGCGGAGGCAGAGAAATCAATTTACATGAAGTCTCTAGACAAATTCTGCTTCCTACAGTGACAAAAAGGTATCTGAGGACTGGATGAATTTTCGATGATTGAGTGCCCTTGCGTTGATAAGTGGCCCTTCAAAGCACATGTTGACTGCTGTGGTATATAGTAGAGTCTATCCTGATTAAGAATATCAGTGAGAAACACATTTGGATATGGAAGGAAAAAGGAGGGGGAAAAAAGATGAAGCCACTCAAAAAGACTCTTAAACCCTATGAAAGGTCAAGGGGAAGATGCAAGCTACAAAACGTGAGCGGCAGGTTGCTCCGGTAGGAAGGAATTGCAGTCCAAGCACAGGTGTCTGAATTTCTGCTACAAGTTTGTAGGTAGGGCAAACACATTCTAGCAGTTGGGATTACCTTTCTTCTGGTCCTTTTGGGAAGATTTATATGCTGCATCAGGATACGTCACCTTTACTAGATTCCTTTGACAGTGTGCTCATCCAGTTCTCGTTATGTGTGGTTCCACTGGGCTGTCACCTGGTATGATGCTGTTGTGTGTCTTCCAATTTACCTAGTGCCCTGGGTATCAATATTGTATTTATCACCATCTGTTGTTTCTGTACTGTCACTTATTTGGTGCTTTTGTGTGGCAAAGGGTTCTCTCTGATTCAGTTCTGTGGATGCCATCCATCATTTGGCATCTGAAATACCGGCGTGCTGGTTTTAGGTCAATGGTAAGTCAGAGACAGTATTCAAGCCTATTTGGTTTTGCAGACTCGGTGCTCTTTTTTGCTAGCATGGTTTCTGAAGCTGGATTTGTATTCTGCTCCAGATGTTGTACATGTTGTAGACTCCTGTTGCATTTAGCCAGCAAGCATGCCTCTCAAAATAGAATGGGGGAGAAAAAAAGACGAGTCAGAGTTTGGGGTTACTTGGAGTTTAAAAAGAAGGTGCTTGTTTGGTCACTACAGAATAGAGCAAATGAACTCTCCAGGCACAGCAAAAGGCTCGCTCTCCAGATAAAGGTCTGAGCTTTCCATGTAGAGCTTCCCAGTTTTATGCCAGTTGCTTTACCATACAGCAGAGCTCTTCTTAAGAACTCCAGCTTTATAATGCTTTGCTTAAAGGCTCTTCTCTACTAAGCAGGTAAAAGTATTTGCAAAGCCTCTCACCTTTGTGTAATGGTGCCCCCATCAGAACTGGATGCTGCAGCTGGTTCATAGATTCACAGATGCTAGGGTTTGAAGGGACCTCAACAGATCATCGAGTCCAACCCCCTGCCCTGGTTGGGGAGAGGGCGTGCAGGGAGAAGAGGTAGTAATGCAGACACAATTTGCAGATACCTCGTCTCCACCAGCTGGAAGTTGTGCTCATGCCACAGTTGGGGGCTTGTAGGAAGAGGTGGCGGCATGGGTGCAGCTGCCTAGCCCCAGCATGGGCATGGGAAAAGTATCCCACTGCTGCTCACACGCAACTGAAGCCACCTGGCCCAGATTGGACCAGAATCAGGTTGTTCCAACCCACAGCTTGTAAAGGGTTGCTGGCCATGCTGTATGCCACATGGAGTCAGTGAAGAAATTTAAGTAATGGGATGACAATACGACCCTTCTTGAATAATGCTGTCACTTTTACAGGTGCTAAGAACCTAGAGCATTTGTCCTGGTCTCGTGAAAATCTTTAGCTATTTTCTCCTTATCATAAAATATATGCAAGTGTTTGTGTAATTTTCTAGCGATGCACCCCACTTGTCAATAATACTAAAACTCCAAAGATTGTCTTTAATTTTTATTTGAGACATTAATCAGAAACACAAATATTTGTTCAAACACAAGAGCTTAATATGCTTCTCTTTCATGTTTGATCACATTTTCTGGTGGTAGCACTAGTTTGACTGGTAAGTGCAGGTTCTAATCATTGAACTTACAGTAATGTAATGCAAAAAGGACTTAAATATTCTACATAATCCCTGCAGTAGCCTTCTAGTACAGAGAGCTGAATAAATGAAAGACAGCTAGATTTAATATTCTCGTATATAAAGATACTTAAAAGGCATGAAATACATGCATAGGAAATATGTTCACCTCTACTCGTGTGAAGCTCTGTGAGGAAACGCACTGATTTCAGCCTGCCATAGCCATGCTTCTCAAATCCATTGAAATAACCTACAGAAAAGGCATTTAGGGCACTAAGATACATGAATGGCTTCTATTAACTTCACTGGAGCTATGCCAATGTACACAGCTGAGGGACTGGCTCATCTATTATTTTTATTTTTTTATTTTTCATAATACCTTAGCATCCCTGAGACAGGCCAGGACCTCATCATTTCCAAGCACTGCTCAAACAGAAAACAATTTACAAGTTACTTGTTGGTCTGAATAAAGCTGATTACCACCCGCACGGGGCAGCCAGAGCACCGGCCCTGAACCGCACGAGGAAAAACTCTGCAGACAAGTTGCAAAACCTGGTCACCAAAAGCAAAACAAGTTCCAAGACAAAGTTGCTTATGCGGTTTTCGAAGTCTACATTTGTTTTACAATGTGGATTTCACAAGGTAAGTAACAGATAACAAGGGAAGCAACAAGAACATAAACTGAAAAAACAAACATTCGTTCAAAGTGCGCTCCCCTGGGCAACTGAGAGCTGGGGAGACGGCATATACTTTCTAGGACTGGGATGTCAAAGCATCTGAAGGGAGTTGACATGTAAGTGGGAGTTGGCTGCACTCCTGTAGCAAGCCCAGAAATCCCAGTCAAGAACAGTGATGTTTCAGGGAGGTTTTTCATTTACCCACTTACACTTTGGGGGCAAGGTTTCTAAGTGCCTATTTTTTTCCAGCCAAGTGCAGTGGAGTGATTTCACAGTAGCACTTTTCTTTGTGCACAGAGAGAGAAGCTGGTCCTATTCCGGTACAGGTGGGTGTGCTCCCAGAGGTTACAGGGGCAACTGGCTAACCTAATGCAAATAAGCAAATGAAAAACGGGGCTTCGGTTGAAAATGGGGTGACAGATCATCTCTGTATTCCTTATGTCTGCTTTGGGTGACCTCTGCCTTCACAATTATGGAGCCAGGAAAAGTGCCAATGTGCACAGAGAGAATCCTTAAATCCTATTAGTCAAAACCCAGTTCTTTTCCTGAATGAGAGAAATGATCCCCAAACCAGCTCAGTGGAAAAGGGAATGAAAGAGAAGTGGTGTGAAATTCTGTCCTCATTTTCAGTCAATGAAAAAACTGTTGACTTCGGCAGAGCTAGGCATTCACTCTCACCCTGAGCTCCAGAACTGCACACAACAGCCCTGCAGTCTCTGCCAGGATGCCAAGATTCAGAGTTCATTTGACTTCAGCCCCTTTCCTCACAGTTAACCCAAAGTAGTCACCCAGCCAACTGCTTCGAGGCCACCAGTGGGTACCCTGCAAAAGGTCCCTGCAACCCCAGAGGCATTTTTGCTTGTCAAGACCATGAAGTCTTTTTGCATAGCTGCATATAACTAAACTACGTGCAAAGTACTTTTCTGGAGCCTTTAATTATAACAGCAAGAGTTTGTATACACTGCAGCCTGCAAGCCTAGAGGCATTTTGCTTGTCAAGACTATGAAGAATCCTACAGGAGGAAAGCAACGAACCTGCAATCAACTCCCAGGAGAGCCTGGAGAACCAAAAAGATTTCCCCATCTCTGCAATGCAAAGACTCCACTGCGCGCTGAAAAAAAATGAATGGACACCTGCGGAGATCCATTTATCTGGATGTCATGCAGCCCGGGATAGCTGTCTTTGCCAGCCTGCCAGGCCAGACTGGCATACAGTGTGAAGGCCCATTTTCTTCAATGTCATGTAAATCTTTATGGGAAACCTCTGAGTAAGAACCTTGCCTTCCGCTTTGCAGCAGCCTCAGGATCATTCTGGGTTTTTAAGTCCTATTATTTTTTTGTGGGCAAAAAAATTTGCATGGACAGTTGTGTCAACTGCATATGCAAATTGGGTAGTCTACTGTAGGAATCCAACCTTTTAACATGCAGCTGCAGCATATACAAACTCTTGCTGTTATAATTAAAGGCGCCAGAAAAGTACTTTGCGTGTGGTTGAATTATATGTAGCTATGCAAAAAATGAAAGGGGGATAATGGAAGGAAGGACAAGATATTATGGGTAAGAAGATGCAGTGTTATCATTTCAGTTCCTTTTTGTATTTTGCAGGTGCTTTATGTGGGGGGTGGAAAAAGTTAATATAAAAGGGGCTGGAAGGAAAGCAAAAAAAGCAAATCTAGCTATTCTTTCTAGAAAAATCCTTTCTCTATATTTTTTAGTCTTAAGGGCCCTGCCCTGTTCCACTTACAAATGTGGTTTTCTATCAGTCTTATGCTCCCTCACAAAAATTAGTCCACACATTCGAAGTAGATTCACTTGGCCAATTTCAGCTCTCTGGTTACTTCCAGATACTCATGAGTCTTTGTCCAAATGCAAAGTCTGGACTTGAATTCCCCCAGATCCACAGACATGTATGCATCAGTTTGTAATTATGCACCAGCTGTTTGGGAAGCAACTCATGGTTCCCAAGTCTGAAGCCTCATTTATTGTGCGGCCTTTAGTTTCATCGAGTGCACATCATTGCAGTAATACCCCTGTCTCAGGTTTCTTAGTGGATGAATATTTCAGATGACAGAATCTTCAAGAACCTCACAATAAAAGTCTTCGTTGTAACTTCCAAGGTCGTCGATATAACTTCCAACTTCTGTTTCTGTTTCACTCGTATAGGTCCGTGCTCTCTGGAATAGAAATACTGTGTTTAGCTACCAAACCTCTGGCTGACCTTCTCACTGTTGCTCCATGCTCATTAGCAAATGCAATACTTTATGCATAGCATTTCCAAACATCAATTTTTGCTAGTTTTATGAAATGTAGCTTCTGAAACTGGTACATTCAGAAAGAACTTTGCATACAAACTCATCCAAGTAACATGCATTTTTTTTTCAGGATAAGAAGCATTTCTCAGTGAGGAATAGGTGGAAAAGTTTATTTTGCAATTAACCCAGTTGCCAATAAACGTAATAAGTTAGGGCCTTATTTTGGCTGACAGATGTGAATTTGATCACTGGTAGTTTGAGACCAATTGAGAAATGCCACAAATCCAGCTTTTCATACTATATCCTTAACTGACAGAAGTAAAATACTAAAATTGTGGTTTTCTTCTAAGCAGTGACTGCTAAAAATGCCCCTATTTTACTTCACAGATACACCATGGGAATTTACAGTTATAACTAATTATGTTCGTGGCAAAATGAATATTTCACTATGTTTTGTTCTGTTCTGTTAGTACTGCAGAGTCAGTCGTACTCAGAGGACGGACATGTGATTCATTAAACTAAGCAATAGTATGAGACAGTTTGAGTGATCTAGATTGAAATGCATCAGAAAAAGACTTCTTAAAACAGATTAAGCTATTAATTTGACCTCTGAACTGGGGTTGCACGGGGTAAATGTGGGTAGAATTTGGCTTGGTGACAACAGATTAGCCAAAAATGAAGCAGTTTGACTTCCATCATGATGCCAAGATGACAGACACAGAGACTGAAAGGGCACAGAATCGGTCGCATAGAAAAGGCTACAGGAGTAGGACAGGGAGGAAAGCTTTCACTGTAACTTTCCAGCGCTAAACAGAAGTCTCCTGCCTGTCAGTCTGAGATCTTTCATCTGCATTCAATTCAACTTTAAATAAAAAGATCACTAAGCAAGATCCAGTGCTGCTCTGAATGATATAACCCCCGCTTTGTCTAAGTCAGCTCACTGTTTTCTAAGGATTGCTTAGCTGCAGTGTTAATATTTGCTATTTCTCTTATTCCAAAATCGGTGTGTGATAACCAGTCATGTTATTTTCCACAGATGACTTTAATTAAAAACAAACTGAAACGTTATTCCATAATCCCTTAAGCCTGTTTCTTTGACCAGACTGTGAAATAATAATTTTAAAAAATAACTTTTCAGAGGGGAAAAATTAGAACTGACTTACTATATAGCATTCTCGATGTGGAGCCAGGGAGAAGTTATATCTTATCTGTAAGGCAAACATATTTTTCAGAAAGTAACAGCAAACATCATAAGTCTGAAAGCCAGACCAAAGGATTTCTCATTATTAAGTTTTACTAAGTAAATCAGTTCTAGGAATCCCAGATGGCCCTGTCTGTCCCTGCCAAAGCAGGACTATCTATCTATGGCATCACCAATGTGTCTGAGTATATATTTTGTCACAAGACCCCCACAGCATAAGGAAATGCTATTTTCTCTGGTTTACAGTGACTGGCACTCTAACCCATCCTTCACTCATTTTCCTACATTACATTTTCCTGCAATACATGTGTCCATTCCTGTTTCAAAATCTCACAAGCAGTGGAATTCTAAGTACTTTCTTCTTTCACTAATCACCTTCGGCAAACTTTTGCTGATAAATTTGCCTAATTTTTCCTTTTCTAGTTTCCTCACATTTTTCCCAGTTACCCTGCAACACACTGCTTGCATTTTGATAAACAAATCTCCCATCTGGACTACAGCATCCGTTATCTATTTAAAAGACTGCTCCTTTCCCATCACATTTATCAGTATAAGTCAACTCTTTGGGATACAGTAAATGGATGCTGCTGTATCTGGACTCGGAGGATTTTTCTTGAAACAAAGTCTACCAGGCGCTTGATTTACACCTTTAACACTGTGGGTTACATTTAGTGTATTTAAGACACAAAAATGTAATGCTATGCATTAGACGAGGCTGCCTCTTAAAGTTCCTTGAAGAGCAAGGGTCTACAAACAAGGCAAGATCTACAGCTAGTATAATCTGGTTTAGTTGAGATAGACTACTTCCACTTGCACAGAAGTTAATGGAACTTTGTTCATGTTATATATATTGTTCATTTTATATATATATAATACACGCAACTTATACACATACACATATATAACGTGCATGAATTTTTGCATGTATAGTTTTAAAATGTGACTCACAAGTGATATTTAAATGGGAAATATAAATAGAGGACAGGCAGATTTTAATGAGAGTGGTATTAGCAGCTCCGCATAAAGACAGTACAAAAGACAATTATAGGCTCAGTTTATAGAGTTGTAGAAAGGAGGCAGCAGCCACAGAGAGTCGATTTTTTCTCAGTGCAAATTATATTCTTAAAATACGTTTACCTCATAGTCCTTTGCTGAAAACAAATCTTTTAAGTTGTTTTTAGGTGTTGGAATTGGTGGAAATAACCTACTCCATAAGTGGCACCTGTGAAAATAGTATATGAAACAGGCATATGAAAGATACCTATAGTTTTGGGGGAGGGGTTAGTTTTTGTTTGGGTGTTAGTTTTTCTGGTCTACGATGATTAACACTGGTTTGATTCCCATACATGTCACACACCTTACCTGGCCATTCAACTCCTCGTTCCTGTTCAGGCTGGGATTCCTACCATGGAACGGCAGGGTAGTCCTCTGCTAATAAGTGGGTAATGAGAAGGGACAAAGAGTGGGAGGCGGTCTGTCTCTGACTTCCCATACTCCTTACAACTCTGATACATGCAGTTAGAGTAATAAACTTCGGAGCAGTCTGAGCCAGAATAAGCTACTCCCAGGCATAGCATCTACACACGCACCCAGGACAGCAGCAATTTGAGCCGGGGTGAAGCAGTTTACACCAGAGCCGGGGAAATGGGGGGCAGCTCCGGGCTCCAGATGGCAGCAGCAGTGGCAGAGGGTCTGGCTGGAGTCCAAGCATGCTGAAAGTATGGAGGCATGTGGCTAGGTGACAGGCAGGAGTCTGGCTCCCTGCAGGCCCGGCTGACTGAGTGCAATGCACACCCACAATCAGGATCTACACATGTGTTTAACTGCAGTTAATTACCCCGCCTTAAGGTAGTACTGTTCCCAACTCTACTATCTTATGTTGGTATTAATTAGTTTACTGTAGCCTAATGGTGTCACAAGTGTAGATGATGATGCTTTACTCTGCAGCTAATTAGTCTACTTTGCAGTTTAGCACATGTGTAGATGAGGCCAGCAGGTAGTAAAATATTCCATGTACTAGTGTTACAATCTAGCCCCAAGCTGTTATACGTACATCTTATGGTAGAAAGCATTGCAGATCTACACAAGTACTCAATGTAGTTCAAGTGTCTGTTCAAGAGCATTCAAAACTTTTGGATTAAATTCTCTGAACCCGTTGCCTATGTCCCCTGCAGCTGTCATCTAGATGACTCAGCTAGCATTTCAGTAATTAAAATGTATTAATTTACTCTTATAACAGGTACTCCATATTTATTCCTTTTAATTTCAGTTCAGCTCTAAACAAAAGTATCAGCCAGATCCTTCTGTCTTCAGCCTGAATCAAGGATTGCAGGAGCTATTTCAGAGCAAATATGCACTTCACTGGTAAAACTTCAGTGAAGTCACACTGGGATAAAACTAGCAAAACACTGCTCAGGCCCGCTCTGCTGCGGAGATGCTCCCTAGCATTACATCTGCATTGGTTTCATCTGTGTTTGGTCAGGATCAAGGTCAGAACTGTCTCTTTCTGTTTCCTTCTGTTACAGACTGTGCGGGGAAGAGGCAGTCCTGTACTGTGCCTGCTAAGCTACTGATCGTTTTATTTTATGACAGCTGTCCGGATTCATGCCTGGTTAGCCGAACTCTTACATAACTAGCTGCCCCTTTCAAAAGCCTTTTTGATTCCTGCTAAGCTCTTTTTATCCCATTATAGCTTCTCATCAGGGAGTCCAAAGCAAATTCCTGCTACTAACTCGTTCCCTTTCATATCTCTCATTCTGAAACTTAAACATTCTGTATCCCTCAGACAGTTCCTTCCGAGTCTCCCAGGACTAGCACTTAAGCATCCTTGGCTAGAACCACATTCATGTTAAAATACACGTCTATGCTTAGCTGGTTATTTAGTGAAGTGGTAGGAAACCGGAAGACTTGGCAAAGTGAACACACTGAAGTCTTTTCACTGTTTTGCAGGGATTCGGTATATGCTGGCAGTCTTGTAACCAAGGAATCAGTGAGAATGGGGGCAAGGAGGGAAGATGGAGCCTAAAGATGAGTTTCTTATGGGGACTAGGTTTTTCAAAGGAGGAAAAGCTGGAAATATTCTGTTACCCTACAGGAGGTTTCATACAACCATTTGGAATCTGCTGTCATTCCAGTAGAAGACTGTCTCAAGTCAAAGGGTAAAATCGGTTGAGACCTGCCAAGGTTGAGACCCACAGGGTAAGATGGGTTGAGACCCGCCAAGGTTGAGACCCACAGGGTAAGATGGGTTGAGACCTGCCAAGGTACGATGGGTTGAGACCCACTAAGGTTGAGACCCACAGGGTAAGATGGGTTGAGACTCACCCAGGACTAGGACAGGGCTCTTAGTCATACAGCACATGCTGACAACTTTGATGTCTTTTGGCTCTTGGCTGGTGTACCGCAAAAGGTATGTTCTCACTGCAGGGTTATCTGAGGTGCTCAGCACCAGAGGCTGAGCACCCTGGTTAGCCTAGTTTAGGAGTGAACAGCCACACTGCAAGGCCATATCCAAGTTACTGCGTCTGCACTGGTACTCTACCCAGTCAAGTGTATCCCTAAGATTTCTGGGGGTGTAGCCCCTGGTTCTAGGTGCCACAGCAAGCTGAGCTGCAAACTGATTCCCTCCTGTTGGTCTGCCCTTCTGGGGGAAGGGGATTTCAGAAAAATATTGGAGGACTATATCAGCATTTGAGAGATTCAGCCTGCATCCTCACTGCAAGTAGGCAGGCTACCAACCTGAATTAAGAGAGAGCCTCAATTCAAGACTATAGCTGCTGCCAGGCTAGCTAGCCTATTTAAAATACTCACCCAAGTGTTCAAACCTAGACAACACTCAGGTATGACTCCAAGAGAACTCTGCAGTAAAGTCGTGTTATCATGTGAAAAGGCAAAGGCTAACATTTCTTTGGTCAGGCTACAGTGACATGATGTTAGATTGACCTTGTTTGTCTGCTCTAAGAATAGCAATGTAATTATATCACATGGAAATTCATCCACCCCACTTATACCGGTTAAAAGACCTTTCCTTGTTAAACATTGCATCCACACAGTCTGCGCTTCTCTGAAGTAACTGCTTGGCATTCCAGATAGCTACCCTATGGTGTAATTTTCCATTCCTCAGCTCTCTACTCTGACTTTAAGCAGGGTACATTGTGGGATACTTGCCAAAAACCACAGGGATTCTGGGACTGGGAATTAAACTAGCAAATCCCATAATTCCTCTTCTGGCATCCATTAATTTTGCTTATGCCACTTTCAAAGCACTGCCTCACAGTGTGGAGGACACAGTATTGAGTGCTGTGATCACAACAGTCGTTAATTCAAACAGCATGTGCTCTATAGTCATGCAGGCAAATGGAGTTAGCTTTGCAGTTTCACAGGGCTTTTGATGTTGCAGTGATACAGTTAATGGAGGAGGAGGAACAGGAAGATAAAACAGTGCAGTCATGTCTGCGGAGCATTTACCTTGAGGAACTTTACGCGGTGGACCATTACTGCTGGGCTGAGTCCCCTGTCTGTGACCAGTGAGACAGAATAACAATGCATTGCTGTTGGGAGAGCTCCCCTCTGCATCATTTTCAAGATGGCGGTTGGTACAATTCCACTTCTCAGCAATTTCACTCTAGCTAGTCTCATCAGGTTCTTGAGTAATGTCCAAATCTGCTGGATCATACTATTCTTCCCTGATCTAATAAATCTCTTGCTCCTCCTGATCATTCCTCATAGTATGCAGGGGATCAAGCTTGCTTTCATTGGCTTGCAGGGTGCTAGTCCTGAATGCCGCTGTATTCTCTTCTGTGCCTTGTAGATAACAAGTCATGACAGCAGTCCCGGGTTGCCTGGAGGCAGTATTTCTCCTACCATGGCCAGGTAAAAGGGGTATTACTGGAGGTACTGTTCTGGTCCACTGTTCTCAGGTACTTCTACCACGAGCTCATTTATTTGGGCACTTAGCCAGAAGCACACCCTTTTTCATTTGCTTTGAAAGCCTGGTAATTCATACAGCTTTCCAGAGAAGACAAGCCCATTTGAAGGAATCCGCATACAAGCACAGTGGCGTCAAGCTGCTATAATAGATATGGAAACTCACTACTACCTGCTACCGAAAAGAAGCACTACATTCTGGCTGTCCAATAGTATTTAAACAAAGACTTTGTATCTGGTCAAGTTGACCTCAGAGTCATGGAAGAGTCAATCCAGATGTGCACTGAGGATAACAGTTGGAGGACTGCCAGAAGTGAAACAGGAATGAGTCCAAGTGAATCATAAAGGGAACACCATCTTATGCAGCGGAGTTAATTCTTTTCTAAGGAGAATTACTTACTAAGCGAAGATATTGGATAAATTCATTTTAAGCCTGTATGTGTTCATTTCAAGTGTTTTAAGGTAAACTACTGACAGCTACTCCAGTGTAACACCACTGTGTAGACAAGGCCCTAGTTTGATAAAATACACTTGGTGTGGCAAAGAAGTCTCTGAGGTATACATCAAGTGAGCCAATAATTTAGGAACTGTTTAAAAAATAATGTGAAATTAGTAGATGTGAGGACAGCACTTATATTACTAGGAGCAGCTTTAATTGCTGTTCTAATAATTACTGCTTAAAATATCTTTTGGGGAGAGGTGATAGCAATTGCATCATTGATTCATTGGTTCATCACTTTGGAACTGACACCCTGGCTTTCTGGACACTGCTACTGAGATCCAACCCACCTTGCTTTGTTCACAACTTGCTTTGTTCACAGAATTTGTTGTGAAGTTGGCTTACAAGAACATCTGTGAGCCCTGGCAGGAAAAACTTGAAGCTCCTTCAAATACTTGCCAAGCCTATATCAGAGAATGGCTAAATGCACTTGCAGCAGGAAAGAAAAGGGTGCAGACAATACTGATTTTTTAGCTGTGCAGAGCAGCTTTATCTACTTAAGTCAGTGATAATAAGGTCACATATGCCAGTGCCCAACTATAGATTTAAATACCTAACTTGAGGCACACAGGTTTGAATATTGGCCTATGGTTTTAGCAATAAAAGATGCTCTCTCTCTCTCAATACATTTTGCTGGGGTTAAATAAAGCACTCTCCTGTGAAGATAAATGGCCAACATAACTGAGTACTGTCCATCTTAGTACCGAGTACAGTAAATAACAAGCTTTTCTGTAAGTCCCTCTCACTGTTCCTGTTCCAACAAATAGCTTTGATGTTAATTAAATTGATCATGCCCGTAACTCCTGAAGTTTCACTTAATATTACCATTGATAATCAATGAGGCTAATTATCATTTTATCACTATTCTTCATATAAATCGCATTTCAATACAGAAGGATGAACCATGTTGAATGCTTTTAATATTGTTTCAAACAAATGCAATCTACACCCCTTCCTTATTCTTTAACTAAAGAACTTAGTGGTTAAATACTTACGTTTTGCATGCCATTGCAATAAGTAGTGTGATGAAACACATGGTTACTGTAACCAAGATGAGAACCCAACCCACTTGATTTTCCTTCTGCTCCTCCCCTGGATTAAAAAAATATATATATTTAGCTCAAATTACGTTTTTCATTGTGGAAAGAAACATGGAGGTAAAATTGTTCCAGTAACTAAACCTTGTAAAGCAAGCTGATTTTATTCAGTAGCTTTTCATTGACATAACTAAGATCATAATTTAGCCCACTATTTACATTTCATATATAGAGATAATTTGGAGCACATTAAGCATTAATAACTTTATCCATAACTGAATTAGAGGCCTTTTATCACTTTTACATGCAAAAGAAAGAAGGCTGAGAAGTGTCATGAATCAGGGCTGCAGGCGTTATCAGCAAGATGCACTCTGCTATGCTAACATACTCGAGTTATGCAACTCCACATGACACAAACATGCCTGCGTGTGCAAGGAAGACACAGTTTGATTATAATCGTGGTCACATCAAGTCCTTGTTTTCCGTTAAACCATTCTTCAGTTATTCATATTCATCCTTTTTAAGCAGGGGTTAGCTAAACAGCCTTGCCAGTAAATCGTGTATTGAAAAACACCATTTTAAATTCTAAGTTGGTTGTTTATCTTCTTGCAGGAAAAATAGCTCTGTTCTCCTGCTTGTGTGCAGAAACAAGTATTTTATCAATGGCAATGTTTCCATTTTAAACAGGCACACTTTGCCACCACAAACATGCCGTGCCTATGCCATGGAAAGCAGAAATTTACACTGAACTTCAGAAGCTAAATTTTCAAAAGGTTGCCCTGTCACTATACCGCTATGGTAATGACATGTGGTATATATCAAGACGGCAGCATAGCTGTCACTGAGTAGATGACAGGGTATAAATTCAGGTTTGGGATATCAAATCAGGTTAAAAAGGACATAGACAAATAACGCTCATTTTCAGTACAGAGTTTTTCCTGGGAAATAAAGCACTAAGGATATGACCCTGCAATCTTTACTTACGCACGTAGTCCAGCGGTAGTTATTGAGCCTGCTTATGTGGATAAGGAATACAAGTGTGGGTGTTGCAAGTCGCAGACTCAGACGAACACTTCTGATTTTGAAAAGTGCTCTTTGTGTTAACTGCCCCGTTTTGTCCCCAGGTTATACTTTTCCTTCCAAGGAACTGAGATCTACGAATGTATAATTTGGATCAGTCAAAGTAACACTTGGTGTGAGGTTGGGATTGGAAGCGTGGCATAAGCCAGCTTTACAGTTTCTCCATTCTAAGGCTGCTGTACATATCCCTTGTTTCCAGTACAGAATAGAGTGGTCCTCAGGCTACTCTACCTTATGTTGACCAGCAACGGTGCCAAAAGGGTGCCAGGCATCGTAGCCCCCCTGGCCAGCCTATAATAGAGGACTGGTGAAAAAGTAATTACACGGGCTATGGCATTTAGACGAGGTGAGTAATCCAATCACAAGCACAGCCCCACTGGTCTAAGCATCACGCAAACACATCGCGAGAGACAGAACGTACAAATTAAAGAGCTAAGACCGGCAAATTGTAGGAGGGGAAGAGATTTGCTAAAAGTCACATAGCTGATTAGCAGCAAAGCCAGGATTAGGATTCAGGTCTCCTGAATCCCCAGTGCCTTAATTTATCCTGGAAAACCTGGCAGGTCATCAAGTTGTAATAGTCTCTTGAAATTCTTTTTGTAAATAGGAAAAGCGATGGGAAAGCGAACCATCACTTCAACTGAATTAAGGTTTTTGTGGAAATTTAGTGGGGGGGTGGGGGTTAATGAATTAGCGTAGCAGACTATTTTTTTTTTTTTTTTAGATTATCTGCATAAATAGTTTAGGTCTGTAACTAATTAGTGGTGTAACTCATGAAAGTGCATGGTCAGGTTCTGCAGGAACCATGGGTAAAAAGCAGCGTGGCACAATGAAGATTTTGGCCAGCCCGAACGATAGGCAGCAGCAAATGCTCACTGTGATGTACAGCTATCCCTAGAGGTTTGGTTGAAACGCATCTCCTTAGAGACACAGCACAGGATCTGACCTAGTGTTTTTACAGTGTGAATCACTGCTATAGATCCATGCACACAGACAGCAATTCACAAATCAGTTTGTCACCAAAATATGCCTGTACAGATATTTAGGGTCAACATCCTCAACCAACCTGAGCCATGACCTTATTATTCTCCATTGACCTTATTACTTGCAACTCACAGCAAAACGATCCATTTTGCTTCTTATTTCCTGAGAATAATAGCACTAAGATGTGGTCCCTTGGGTCCCAGGACTGCTTGCAGATCCTGTTCAAGAATCGGTTTGAGGACTACTTGTCCCCACTTCCTGGCTTGTTTCTCTTTACAGGCAATAGTGAGTGAAAGTAAAATGCAAAAGGACTGGAAGACCGGGAGCTGTGGGAGAGGTGCTGACAAACTTCCCATGTTTGAGGCCTTCAGTGAGCAGCTAAGGTCCAAACATACAGTAGAAAGAGGAGGGCTATAAGAAAAGTGAGGCATCATAAGAGTCAACCTCTTATCCAGGGTTCAGCAGAGCCTCCATAACTGAGCTGGACTTTCACTCGGGATTGAGTGTGAAGGGGTTTTAAAATATGGGTAGCAAGCATGGGCTTGACAAGTACCTTCAGGTCAACCCCAGCTATCAGTATAGTGTTTAGGGTCCAGTGACTAATCAGTTTGCAGTCAAAGTTAGGACAAGGCATTTATTTTGATATTTCTTTGCACCGTTTCTTAAAGGACGGTGTTATTAAATTCATTTTTGTAGCTCCTACTTTTACCATATGTGTGCATAGTAGACATGGTCTAGCTTTATTGGCAACCATCTCCCAGGTAGGTAATTCTATCCTGGCTGAATGATAAGAAACAAGATGCACTCAGAAAACTAGATTGAATATAAATGGATGATAAATTAAACCTTTGTTCTAAAAGTTAAAATATATTTGATTTTTGCTATCCTCTGACTCAGCTTGGCTCATCTTTTAACTTCTTGAAATTCTATTCTCGCTTTGTGTACAGAACATGAACTTTTACTTCAAAAGATTTTTTAGTGTTTTAGGAAAATTAAAACAGAGCCAAAAGCTAACCCTTAATTCAATCAGGACTTATGGTAGAGGTGACATCTTTTATTAGACCAACTAGATTTTTACAAAAAAAAAAATCTTTGCAAAAATCTAGTTGGTCTAATAAAAGATATCACCTCTACCATGAGTCCTGATTGCTTTTTCCTGCAGGCCAATATGGCTACAACCTGGATACCTTTAATCCAATTTTTACATTCTGATTGTGAATTCTACTGGATGTGGCTGTCCAGGTGATCAAGGTATTTCCCAGGTGCTTGGACTTAATAACCTTCCCAGATAGCTTGCATTTTGCAAGCTGAATTCAGTCAGCACAGGAATCCCTAACTGCAGGGATTATGACTTCCTAGCAGTTTTGTGCCCATACTGCTGGGGGACATTTTCACACTAGGTTCTGGTTAGAAGAATCATATGAATGTATTAGAGCTGAAGAGGCAGAAAGGAAGAAGATATGACAGACATTGAACTTCATCAGAAGGCAAGTTTAAGGAAGCAGGAAGAGTTCAGTAAACAGAAGAGGGCAAAGTAAAGAACTTAAAAAAGAAAATCAGGAAGTTAAGAAAGTCAAAAGATAAGAGTGAGAGGGAATGACTGAGAAAGAACAGTTGATAACATGTCATGATAAGCAAACTGTTACTTCCATAAAAAAACATATTCAGCAATCAGGAAATGCAGTATCAAGCAAGTCAGATCTAGACAAATGAATGTCTTATGAAGATAGTAACGTCTACATTTCTCCCCTAATGAAATTCAGGTAACGCCAATAAAAAAAATTTTACTTGACTGCTCAAATTGATTTTGGATATTATTACACTAGCACCAGCACCAGCGCTTACTCAAGCACATTCTTTGTGTCTAGTAAGTATGTGTAAAATGAAAGACTTAAAATCTGCTTATGGGAAATGACCTGTTCCTCAGGGTAAGCTCAGCCCCCAGCTATAACATTTGAGGCTAGGATCTTGTCAAACTTCAAATGGTGAACGAGACTGTCCCAGCTCACAACATATATAAGTAAATTATTTGACAGCCAAGACATTTTGATTCTTACCAATAAAAAGGGGGTCAGTCCACTCGCTCCAAAATCCTTCATTATACTGACGATTAGCCCTTATCTGTATGGAGTATCTACTGGTAACATCCATCCTGAATTTGAAATCATTAGAAGTGCTTTTCGATAGCTGTTAAAAAGCATATTGTTTTGTTACAGACTGCTTAAGACTAACAAGATGAGAAAGGCCAATTAAATTGATGTTCACTGTGTTTGGGTTTTTTTAAATTACTTTTACAGTCTAACAGTGGAACCGAAGGCTTGATTTTCAGACTTTTTTCCTCTATTTTTCCAGGTACAGTTTGAACTTATATTCCACTACAGCCATAATTTTTCGCCTCTGGTGCCCACTGCTTCAGAGTATTTTGATCCACGTGAACCAAACTTCTTGGCAGGCATGCCCCACATTTGCCCTCATCCTCTCTGAGTGCTTCTCCAATCCCCTTCCCCTGCTAATCTTCTCCTCTGCTTTCTGTTGCACACCCTGTGCTCCCTGCCTAATCTGCTGTTCTGCTTTCTGCTTCCCACCCTATCCCCCCCAAGCTGTCTGTGCCATTTGTGGCATGCAAGCTGCAGGATGGCCGCCCCTGTTCTAAAGTATCCACTATTTTGAGGAGCCCCTGTTAAGACTCTTAATGCTGGCTTTTCAGAGCTGCTGAGCACCTGCAGCAACCCAGACAGTCTGCATCCAGATATATGAAACTGAGCATCCAGATTAATGAACTTTTGAAATGTTGGTCTAGGTGTTTTCCTAGCTAACTTGCCCCATCCCTCCAAAAATGCCTAGAAAAAGAGAACTGATGTAAAATTTAGGAGTCCTCTGAAGTCAACAGGAGTTTGTAGGGGTGCGCTGATAAAGAATTTTTTGGCCAAGATCCATGGATGACTATTAACCAGCCATATTGGTCGATACTGATCTGATAGCCAATATGCAGCCCAGCAGTTTGGAGAGCAGCATTGGGCTGTAAGTCTGTAGGGGGGAGGAGCATGGGGGAGTAAAGGGGCATGGGTGGGGGCACATCGAGGCCCCCACAGTGAGGAAGGGAAAGGGGCTGGGGCAGAGGCAGGGGTAGGTGCTGCTCAGCTGGGGTGGGGTGGAACGTGGGGTGGAGCATGGGGCAGACCCATGGGTTGCTCGTCCTGGCTG